AAATTCCCCGGACGGGGAATTTTCAGTTGACCTGAAGAAGAGCGAACAGATCGCAGTCAACCTGAAGATTGTTTGTCAAGCGATATACAATATATACGTGTCGAGCACAGGTTCAGGATAGTGTAACGTTGATTTCACCCTGGTGCTGAAAGTAGAACAGTTCCTATATTTAAAAAAAAAAACCTTTTTGAATGTTTAAAAATTGTGATTTTAGAATTTTTTAAAATTATCATAACTAGTCTAAATATAATTATTGTTTGTGGAAAAGAAAATATTATTGTCTATAATATTTAAAATAAATTATACAGTTTGATATCTGATAATTTTAAATATGTAGTCCTGATGATCTTTTTTAGTCATTTTGTGTAAATTTGAAATTGGATTGGAAAGACAAAACAAAAAAAAAAGAAATCTTTTTAATAGTTCTTAATTAAATGCAAGTATTAGACTATCATCAATCAAGCATATATATTTTTTCTCTTGTAAATTCAGATGGTTACATATTAACAATTATAAATAAGTGATTTTTTTTTAAAATTAGTTTAAACTGTTAATTAATACATGTTTTCTAGTTGTATTGTAATGTGTCAATGCCAGTTTTGTGACAAATGTGAAGTCAATTGTCTGTAGATCTGCATTAGTTTTTTAATTACTTCTTATGGTAAATATTATTGTTTCATGTCAAAATGTCTTGGAAAAATTCAACCGTCTTAAACAAATTAATAGAAATCCTCTTATTCTGGTTTCAATTATCTAATAGTTTTATCAATAATAAATTAAGAAAATCATTTATTTGCACTATGCCAATGAATAATTGCTGTGTTTTGCATTCTAATATAGTAGTCATTTTATTTGATAAGCATTAAAGATGATAATCATTAAAAAAAAAGTTTTAAAAATTTATTAGTCTTATGTTTTTAACAAATAAAATTCCGTATATTAGATGATACTGTTTAATTTAATAAATATTTAATTTCACTTTGTCATATGTGGAAAGAGTTTTCATGTTTGAGAGATCAAGTTTCTTAAAGGATATTCGAGAAGAAAAGAACAAAAGCAAAATTTAATTAATCAAATTTTAATTGGCTTCATCTTTTCTATACTTCTAATGAAAAAATATTTACATTTAATTTGAAGCCAAACAATCACCATAATGAATCGGGCTACTTTACACCACTATTAGTAATTAAATGCTAAGTAATTTGGTGCTAGAGGTAGGCACCATCTCTCAGTAAACTTTTAATAATTATAATTAAATTAATATTTATGAATATTCTAAATTATTTAATGAAGAAAGAATATTTAGTTTGACTTTGTTTACTCAATGTTTTTATCATTTAAAAACAGTAATTAAAGAAATGATTTCTTTTTGAAAATAAGGATGATGAATATTGAAAATAACAAGTCCATTGAAGCCAAATTAGTCATTGCTTTCTATCATTTAGCTCTTACATCTTTCTCTCCCTTTTTTTTAATTGCCAAAAAATACAATACTGGTATGCTTTGGATAGCAGACAAATTTTTCTACTTCCCACTTTAATTAATTAATTAAGCAAAATGTGTTATAGATATGATGTCCCTGTTCTAAGCTTTAATCTATATTCATCATGTTTAATTATTTGCAAATATGTGAAACATTTAGAAATATAATTAAAACATCATAATTTCATGTAATGTATATATTTCCAGATCTAAGAAGGAGATTTTAGCATTTATAAATACAGTAGATCCCCCTATAAGACGGTAGATACGTTCCGTTCTTTATGAATCAATTTTGTAGGAATCATAGTTTACGGACTACGGCTGTTTGAAAGGTTTTCTTTCATAAAATTAATCGATTCTAGACTAATTCGACTCAACATTTCCAAAATACGTATATTTTTTTGAAAATAATCCGTATAAACTACGTTATAAACAAAAAATTGTAGGATTGCTTACCGAGTGTGTACCGTTCGACTACGCCCGTTGCTAAAGCTTGGTTTCGTCGCGGAACAGCGCATCAAACCGCGGCCGCGATTTCTGATATTATTTTTCTGCGAAAACTTCGTTGACCTTTGGAGACATCCTTAATATAAATAATTTTTATGGCCGTTAAATAAGAAATGTTTCTTTCACAAGAAATGTATAAAATTACAGTACTGTATTAGACTTACGGTACCTAATTTACATACTGTACAGACGATAGTAAACTCAACTTACTCGCCTAAACTCTCTGTAGCGTGGCGCTGGACGGCGGAAAGTATATATATAATTATAATAAAGTTACAATAAATTAAGTTAATATATAATTATATGTACAGTACCTAATTTATATATAATTAATATATAATTATATGTACAGTACCTAATTTATATATAATTATATGAACAGACGATACTAAACTCAATTTATCCGCCTAAACGTCCGTAGCGTGGCGCTACGGACGGCGGGAAAGTAGTTCGGCTGCCCGATGACGTTTTACGTATTATAGGAGTTATTTTTACCGTTGTTTACGGATACTGCCACAATTTTTATAGGAATCATAACTATAGGGAACGGTTTTATAGGGGGATCTACTGTACCTGTTTTTGCTCGTTGCACGGCTTAAGTATTTCAGTGTGCGCCCAAAGCGGTAAATCGCTGAGAATAGCACGTTTTTTTAGAAAGCATGGCTTTAATTTGCCTATCACTCTCCAACCTACACTACGAAGAGTGTTTCGTAATGATATAGACACACTCACATTAAATGAAAAGTCTGGAGCCTACAAAATTCTATTACAACACATACTATCAGAGGAGGAATTATAATTATTTACATTGGAGCTACTACCATAATTTCATACATTGAATAAAATAATAACTTGGAATATTTTAGTCTTTTCTTCTGTTGTTAAATATGTTTATTTGAAGATTTAAATTTTGGAAAAGTTTACTAATTCAACATCAATGTAAATTAAAAAAAAATTAAGTTATTGTATTATTTCATTTCATCCTATTATTTCAGTTTAACCTAAAATGATACATAAATTATTGTTTTTTTAAAATTTCTGTACTAAAAATTTACCAGTACTTGTTTTGTTGTTTAAAGCTGTGACAATGGATTAAGAATGTCAGTTTTTAAGCTGTAGATAAAATTAACTTCTATATACAACCATTTTTAATTCTAAAAATTCTTTTTCAGCACATCTATATATAACACCATTTTATTTTAAGTTTGACTGACAATAGTTTTGGTTTTATATATGTATACATACATGCATACAAATGGCATTCTTTAATTCGATAAAAGATTATCCGAGCCCAAATTTAAATCACAAAATTAAAAGAAAATTAATTTTACTCTCTAAGCATATAATTTTTTTCATTATTCTTTCTTTTTTAAATTTTTTAATTCCTAAAGAAGAAAATAATTATAGTGCATTGTGCAGTTCTTATTATCAAGAAATTCTTCATAGAAAAAAATAAATGATAATTTTTTTTAATTGAAAATTCATTTATTTGAAGTAATGGATTTAATAAGAAAATAGCAAGAATATTTTTATTTAGCATTAATTTACAAGTTAAGAATTAGATAATTTAAGTGTAATTATATTTTGATTATCACATTTTCTATAATTCTTATAATCAAAGAAAATGATTTCAAATAAATAAATCATTAAAGAAAAAAAACCAATTTTACAGAGTGTGATTTTAAATAATTCCACTCGAACAATGTGTGAAAGGCCGTTGAGATTTGCCTTCTTTCTTGCTGTACTACTTTATACAAAATGCTGCTTTTATGAGAGTTAATAAAAAAGGTTTTTTGATTTTGTAATTTACTTTTTGAAAAATTATAATTCCTACCATTGAAAAATTCTGTGTAATTATCTGTCAAATATTAATATAGCAGGTTTATTAATGAGATATTTTTAGTTTTCATTAAATCCTAACTTCAGCAGACCGTTTTTATATAACTAATCTATGTACAAATGTCTCAAATTTTATCAAAATAGACATAATAAGATAAAATAGAGCAAATATTTAATTTCATCTTGATGTAAGTACGATAGGCATTTATGAAAGATCACCATGCCGAAGCAGTTACAAATATTATACTTTTGGCACGTATTTCAATATAGTATTCTATATTTAAGACTATTATAACACCAAATATAGATTATGGTGAAAGCAAATCAGATTTTTCTAGTTTTAGTGAGTCACTTTTAAACAATAAAAATCATGCTAGCTTATTTTTTTTTATACTTCTTAAAAGCTAAGTGTTAAATTGCCTGTATACATCAAATATTATTTGTCTAATATTAAATAAGATGTTTTATACTTATATTGAATGAGTTATTTAAAAATACTTTTAGTGATACTAGAAATAAATTCATTCAACTGTTTAGTAGAAATGAAAATAAGTGTAATTTTTGTATTATTAAATAATTATTAATGCAGTAATACCTTGACTTACACTACCCTGAGTTACGCGATTTTTGAATCTTGTTGATTCGTCTTTTTTATTGAGCACCACGCGACTCTTGATTACTCACTCCCCCCATACTATGTTCAGCTTACATGTTCGGACGTGTCGCGCGGAATCGACACATAGCTACAATTTTTTTTGTGTTATTTATTTCTGTTTGTTATATTTACAGACTTGAAAGACTCTGTGGTGATTTCTTGTAACTGTGAGCGAATCAAAAGACGAGATAAGATTAATGAGAACATTTATTAGCTTGCTTACATCTGACTTGGATTTTACACAAATTGCGAAATTATACCCTGACTTAGGCTGGTATTGCTCGGTCCCACCTATCGCATAAGTTCGGGTATTACTGTATATGAAAATTTGGTTTTTTGTTTCGTGTTACTTTTTAGAAAAGAAATTATTTATAATATAAAACAAAAAGATGGTTGCTATCAGAAAGTAGTAATAGAAAACTTCAATTTCAACAATGTAATGAGGCAAAAACTTTATTAAAATTTAAATTTTAATGACATAAAAAAGGAATTAACTACATTTTTTTTCCCCTTCCAGCTTTTAGGTTTAAGTATATTTGTCGTTGGAATATGGGCGTGGACCGAAAAAGATATATTTAATAATTTAAGTCGCCTTACAAATATAACGTTAGATCCAGCCTTCCTACTCATCATCGTTGGCATTATTACTTTTATCATCGGATTTGCAGGTTGTGTCGGAGCACTCAGAGAAAATACATGTCTTTTAGCAGCTGTAAGTAAATGTATTTTTTCAATATAAGACATATTAAAATTATTTTAGTATATAATAAATGTTTTCTAAGCAGCAGTCCAACTTACTGTTCTTAAACAATTAGAGATGAAAAAATGACAATGAAATAATTTATTATACTGTTAATTTGTAAACTTATTTTTATTTCTTTCTTTAGAATTTGAATGTAAAACTATCAAAAACTTAAGATATTGTTCCTTTTTATTACGGATTATCATTAATTCTTATGAAAAGTAATCTAGCTCATTGTAAATATCTTCTTCTTATTGTTTTTTTAACAAAATATAAGTCTAATTTAATGTATAATTATCAGAGGTAGGCCTAACTTATTAAATATTTTAGTAATTGTCATTTTAAAATATTTTTTTGCATAATATTTAATTCATAGTTTTTGCTTAAATCAATATTATTAATCTTAATAAAATATATTGAATATTGAAATTTCAATATTTACCATATAAATGTATTTTTATTTATTTGTGAAATAACTTATTACATATTTCCTTATTATAAATTACACAATTACTAATAATTATGTCAATGGTTCTGCATTTGTTTTACTCTTTATCTTAAATAAATTTTAAAAAGATTGTTACAGTATACAGTAGAGTCCCACTAGTCCAAACTAATTGGGATGGAGCCCTGTTCAGATTAGCCAAATAATTGAAATAATGCAGAAGCAAGCAGTAAAACAGGTCTGGTTTATATAGATCAGGGGTGGCCAAAACGTGGCGAATGCGCCAAACTTGGCGCATTGGACGATTACAAGTGGCGCTTCAGTTAGTTCTGAGCAAAACTGCCAGATTTGGCTTTTTTGCAATTAAAATATTATATAGAAAAATAAATTTTTTATAGTCTTTCTTGGCAAGTTCATTTGTTGCACAATTCGTTACGGTCTATTTTGCAGATAAAATGAGTATTCTCAACGCAGTAAATTACAATGTATGCATGTATTTTTAAACTTGCGATCTTTATTTCCGATCAGTTTACAGGCGTGTAAATGGCCGAAAACATTTATTGTGATTAAAGTTATTCCAAGCTGATCTCGTTCTCAGTGCCAATAATTATAGGGCAGAGTAATCTTCACCAAACGAGACTCTGGCAGCAATAGCACCTTCATGAAGCAATCACCCTCTCGTACAGGAGATCATTGTTGACTATTGTAAATTGGTGCTTCAATAAACTGTCATAAATTAATTAATTCAACTGCATGATTAAGTTATTCCCTTTTGTTTCCTAAGCGAAGCAGATTTATTCTTATCTCTATTTATCAACCTCTAACATTGAACGTAAGACTGTATAAAAAGTGTTCGAGTTATATGGCGCATTTGAACTCGTCTGTCAAAAAATTGGCGCATAGTATGCAAAAGGTTGGCCACCCCTGATATAGATCCAATACCATCAATGACTTTTGTTTCTGTTTTTGTGCGTAAGTACAGTATAGATCTGCTGTTTTAATAGACCATGTCAAACACTGATTTATTAATTTTGTACAGTATTAGTACAGTACTAAATAAAATACAATTTTTTTTTTGTATGGAATTCTAAATTTTTTTGTGTTTATTAATACTATTTAAATTTAACTGGAAAATACAAAAAACATATATTTTGTGAGCTAAAACATTTCCTCTCAATGGACTGAAACATATTTGGATTAGCAGTGTTCAGACTAGCAAGACTACTGTATAATAGGAATCTACGCTTTTTTGGTAGCCAAAAACATTTCTGACCTTTTTGACCAAGAATATTCTGTACCAAAGAGAGCCTAAAAATGGCTGTCTTTGGTACAGAACATTCTTGAAATGGAATCTCGATGTTATAGAATTGAACAAAACAGTTAATTTAAATTTAAATATTAAAATAAACATTATTCATTTTAAATTATTTAGATTAATTTGTTTTGTAATTAACTAAAATGAAAGCTTTACATTGAAGATTTGAAGTGCCATAAATACTTTGTGATTATGTTCTTTTTAAGCAATAATTGAGGGGCTTAGTGGAAAAATGACATGCCTTCCTTTTTGTAGCTCTGCAGGATATGGATTTGTGCATCGTCGATTTGTCGTCTTAGAAATTTTCAAGGTTCAGTTTCACATTCTGCAGGTTGTACACCCTGATTGATAAAATGTTGCATATTAAAATGCTGGCAAACTGAAACACAAATCCTCCTTTTTCAGGAAAAGTTCCTAATGTGGACTACACCTTATTTTTCCCACCAAGTCCCTCAATTGTTAACAAGCATGTATGTAAATGGTCAAAATAATAATGAAGTAATTGACAATGAGCACTTACGTTTAATCAAATTTATTGATTATTCACGGTTCACGTAGAGTTTACATGCAATAAAATGTTTGGCAACCTAAAAAAGTAGATGCGGAGAGTTTTGAATTTATAACGAATGCTTATATTTGCATTTCTAAACATACAAAATTCTACATATAATTAGTATGTATTAACATTTATTTTAATTTCTTAGTGGAGTGTTTATATTAATATTAGAATTAATAAATTAGCAAAAATTAAAAAGTAGTTGTTAATAATAACATTAAAATATGTATTTCAATAACTGTTAATTTGAATACTAGATTGCACTTGAACTTACAGAAGAAATTTCATATTCTAAAACTAAAAAATAATAATTATATTGAAAGTATGGGTGATCAGTCCCATTATGTCACAGTAATTCTACAATAGTTTCTCTAAAATTACAGCTAAACAACACAACTAAAAGTATTTTGAAGCTTTTATGCTAATAATTCCCTGCTGTGATTTTGGATTTGATTTTCCAATTCTTTTAAGTCATTATATGTACCATTAAAACTCGCTACAATGGATTTTGAAAAAACTGATTTTGAACATGTTTTGGGCCTCTGTTGCTTTAATATTCTCAATTGGACTGCAGTCGCAGAATCGCAGCTTTATCAATCACATTATGCCAAAGTTAAATGCATGGCTGAAAAATGTATAACCAAGATCAGTTCATTCAGAAAATATGGAATTGATTCAACAGAAAATGGAATTGGTGTGATAGTAGTAGAAACTGCTAAATTTGTAGGAAGGTGTTGAAGATTTTTAGTTACTAAGAGAAATCTTTTTTCTCTTAGTAACTTTACATTAAAAAGCATGAGAGAAAGCATTTAGCTGAGAATTTTTAAAATCCTATTTTTTGAATGGAGATATTTGATTGAAGGGAGCACAAAGATCATGAAATTTACAAAGATCTATCAAGCTAAAGCAACAAACCCGAAATCTCAAATTTTAATTTAAGAAAGCAGAAGATATATAAAATCTAAATGCTTGGAAACTTGTCAGTGTCTGTGAATGCTAAGCATGATCAATGAGACCATTTTTATTGATTATGCCTAATGGTGACAAAGAGGAGGAAAATTAAATAAACATACGTTATTGGCATACGTTTCTTGGTTTTTAAAACATTCATGTTGCTATTTTTAATTAAAAAAACTTATACTGAATTATAGTTGCAAAAATAAAATGGTGTATATTTTTGTTAGCTTCTGAAATGTAACCTTCCTTTTTTACCTGGTTTTTTTAGTCCTGTCTATCATGATTCTGCACTACACAAGATTTTATAGAAAATTAATGTGTTATACGAAAGTTAACTTACTTCCATTTTTATTTTATTAACTTTAGTTGTCAAATATAAATTATAATAAAGCTGTTGTCTTCTGATACGAATACAATTTTTATTTCAGTATGCCATATTTTTAGCCATATTATTATTATTGGAAATGACAGCTGGTATTCTTGGTTTCATCTTTAAAGACTGGGTAAATTATCATTATTAACTAAGTATTTTTAAACTAAAAAATATGCTTTTTATTGTACGCTATTCATATTAATATCTGGATTTCTTTTTATTATAGATTAAAGCTCAAACTACAAATGGATTTAGAGCATTTATTGTCTATTACAGAGAAGATCCTGATAGGCAAAATTTAGTAGATTGGATACAAGAACAATGGGTAAAATTTTTAACACCATCAATGATTGTATAAATGATTGTTAATTTATAATTTTGTATGTAAAAAAAGGTTTTAATCTTACATTTAGTTCTCAGCTAATTTCTATTGAAATTGCTCTCTATCTTTTTAACAATCATTCACATTTTCAGATTTATTAAAAGTTTAATAGCCCAAAAGTTAGGCAAAAATATTTATATAGAAATAACAATAATTCAATAACTAATAAAAAAAAAAAAAAAAAAAAAACAGACAATATGATTGATTTTGAAATTTTCAGCATATATAAACTAAATGTGACATTTATAATACTCGAATTTCATTACTATAAATAATTTTGTTTTTAATATATAATAATAATGGTACAGTAATTATAAGTTATATTGTATAAACCTTCTGAAATATTAAAGTTTAAAATAAGTATATTTTATCCATATAAAATATTTGAAAATTAATCATGCATTAAATAATAATTTAGTTTTAACTAAAATAAATGAATGTATTTGCATTAACTAGAGTTGTTTTTTTCCCATTTTAAATGCATAGCTATTCTTTTATATGCTTTAAAATATTAAAAAGCAAGTGTAATTAATATTTGATTTCTGTATAAAAATTGTTTATTCAATTTACAATGGTTTCTTAATTTAGGCAAACATTATGTTGTAGAACATCTTGTACAATTTAAATTCGCACAATGTAAATTGCTACAAAACGTGCATTGCTATATTAATACAAGTAACTCTTGTATACTCTTAACTAAACTATCCATGATGGAACAAACCATTAGGAAGTAAATGCAAAGATTAAAAAGTTGTGCATCTTCAATACATAACTAATTGATAATCTTCAATAAAAGAAAAATGAAGAATCAGCTATTTGCATTGACTTCTTGTGGAACTTTGTTAATGATTGTTTATTACTTTAAATTTACACAATTTAAACGTGCGTAAATTAAGAAATCACTGTTTACTACAAATTTCTCATTATACAGTTTTCTTAATATGTTTAAAATTATTTTTAATGTGAACCTTATTTTTATCTAGTACCAGATATTTTTTAATTCAATTTACATTTTATGTAACTTTGAAAATTGAAATAATGCATATCAGTATTACATATAAGATCATTATTATTGCTTATTATAATTAACATTACATAATTTTCTTACAATTACATGATTAAAATATTTAATTGTTCTAATATATTCTGAAACCATGTCTTCTTTTATTTGAATAATTTGTTATCACTGCTAGGTTCTTATACAGACACTTGGCAATGATGTTCCCGAATAAAAGTTGATGACAAAATTGCCAAGTGTCTGTATAAGCACCTAGTAGTGATAACAAATTATTAAAATATTTGATTTATATTACATTTTTATTTTTTCTTTATAAACACAGTTTATATAGCATAGGATATACAATTTTATATTTAAGATTACACTTTAGGTATTATCTTTTTGTTTAATTTAATTTGCTTTTTGAGTGTTATTCTTTCAATTTTAAAAAGTTTTAAGAAAATCAATGACACAATTTACATTTTAGCTTGAATGCTGTGGGATTGATGGTCCAAAAGATTGGGATATGAATGTATATTTTAATTGTTCTAGTGAAGAAAGAGGAAGTAGAGAAGCATGTGGTGTACCCTTTTCTTGTTGTAAACCTCAACCAAATGTGAGTCACTAATTTATATTAAGATTATAAAGTAAAATTTTATTTTAAAATACTAATCTCAATTCATGATGATTTACTTAACAGGTTATCAAATCACTAATGTAACTATTTAATACAGTCGACCCCCCTATAAGATATAGATACGTTCCAATTTATTAGGAATCCGATTTCTTACAAGTCGTTCCAATCACAGCCCGACACGTGTCAAGTTTACNACAATGAAATATATAATTAAGTAAATACATATGTATGTAATAAACTAATTTTGATAAACTGTAGAACTGCCAATAAATTATTCTACAAATTTTTATTCTTTAATTGAATAGGAACTAATTAAGAATAAACAATGTGGATATGATGTGAGAAAAAGTGATTATGTGAGTATTTGTTAAAATAAAATTTATTTAATTTCAATTATATATGGGCAATAACAAACACGAAATCCTTATTTTATGGAAGAAATGTACTTCTTAATATTTACTAAAAAATTATTATAGGTGTACCTTGCTAATACAGCAGATTTAGTTCTAGACTATCACTAAAACATTGCCTTAATGAGAATAAAGTTTTTTTAATTTTCAGTGCATATAAATGCCTAAAAACATATATTTACACTACAATTTATTAAGTATACAATAGTACTTGGCCTAAAACATGATGCAAAAGTAAAAAATACTGACACATCCTTAAGAGAAAGGTAAACACAAAAAATAATAACAATGAACATAATTGAAAAGTGATGTATTAGCAAGGCACTCTAAAGTGAAACATCTTAAAGCAAAGTATGCCTGTATTTTGAAAATTTGTAGTATACCTCTTAAAATTCTGGAATTGATCAAGCATGATTCTAATAGTACTAATAGTTACAAATATACATTATTGTGGATACTATTAACTAATTATGGCAATTGTTTTGGTTTAGTACCATGATAATGGATTGGATTATTTTTACTTTTTGCTCAAAATCTAATATCTTATGTTTATCTGCACATTTCTAGCATTATGTAAACTACATTTTTTATTGGTAGATTAAGTTTCTACAACAATGTTTTGAAATAACAATTTTTTTTAGAATAACCTTTTACAATTTAATGGTTTGGTGAGTGAGTATTAAATTTAGAATTTTTCAGTTTCAGTTCACTTACATTCAGGAAAAAAAATTACATCAATAATATGAATAACTTGTATTGAAAGGTTAATTTCTTCTTAATTCTTTCTTAATTTCTTCTGTCTAGGCTGGCTGTATGTATAACAAGGCAAGCATCTAGAGCAGTTTCTCAATGGGAGCGATATTACCCCCATGTGGGCATTTTTCCATGCTGAGGGGGCAATTAATAACAATTTATATTTTGGGGGGCAAAAAACAATTTTTTGGGCGATAGAGTAAAACATTATATTAAGAATAATTAGATATTTTATTCATTATATCGTACAATAATTAAACAAATAACATTATACTAGTCACTAGTCTATTCGATGCAGTACGAATTTGGCGTTAGCCTTGGCCCTCGGCATCGGAATTTTGAAGTGAAGGGGGCGATACTTTGTAACGGTTTTATTGAAGGGGGCAACGATTTGTTAGAGGTTGAGAAACACTGATCTAGAGCTTGATGGCAAGCATGGTAGAAGCTTGGGGATGTAGTTCATAAAAAAAAAATAATTCTTTAATTAAAATTTAACTTTGAAAAAATTCTGTTTTGTATTTAAAAAATAAATATTTGTGTTAATTTTTAAAAATTTAGGAAACTACAAGCAGCTTTGTTTGAGATATAACATCATATTATAAAAAAATGATGGCTCCAGACTTTGCTATCATTTTTTTTTATAATAGTGTAGGTATTGATTTATTAAAAAATTATTTTGCTAAATCAATAACTGCACTATTTGTGGTTGTCATTGTAGCTGAATTATTTCATTTGCATTAAAAAAAAATAATTTTCATATTCAATTTTTTTTTACTCTTTCTGCTCTGTGGGCTCTATGAGGGCTTCTTTTAGCAAGTCCATTATGGGTTCAGCCAGACCCACAATGGGGCGACCAGGTGGTAGTTTTTCATTTATTCTAATTTTAAAAATTAGAAATTTATTAATAAAATAAGGATTTAGTGTATATAAATAAAATTCTTGATATATTTAGCATTATATTTATTTTAATGGAATTCTAGAAATTACACACACACAATCTATTTCTGATTATGAAAGAAATTAAGTTGATTTTAAAGTTTGAATTGTTTTAGGATGAATCCAAATAGTTTCTTTTATTAGATTTACTGTTTCTCTCAGAAAATTACAAGCAAGTATTTTGAGAATTATAATACCAAATTAATATTTTTTTTTTTTTTTCAGCAATCAGCATTTTTTTAGATACTGATTTTTTTTTAAAATAATTTTCTTGATTTTAAAATATGATATTTGCAATTATTTATTTATTTATTTATTTTACATATTATTGGAACTGTCAGTTGACAAGAGATTTCCACCCCCTGAATAACAGAATTTACCCCAAAATACAATTAAAAAAAATAAGTCATAAATAACAATAAAAAACCAAATTTAAAAAATTTTTAAAGAAAAAAACTATGATAAAAGGTGATCAAGATCTATGATGACCTTGATCACCTTTTCATCGTGAAGAAAGCATTGACAATGTTTATACAGTGGAACCTCGGTATACGACCTTAATCCGTTCCTGGTGTTTGGACTTATACTGAATAAGGACATATACCAAACCAATCTTTCCCATAAGAAGTAATGTAAAAATGATTAATCCGTTCTCATGTAAAAAAAAAATGGCTGGCTTTAAACACCTTGCTTTCCTGGCTAGTTCCTGCTTGATTTTTCATGAGATCAGCATGTATCTTTTTAGATTTCTCTCAAATAATTGCTTTTGATACGCTGTTGCCAGCACACTGTTTTTCAGTTATCCAAAGCAAAAGCAATTTCTCAACATGATCTGATGTCTTCGATCTATGTTTAGAAATTGATTTAACCCCTTTCGCAACATTAGCAAATTTAATAATGTCTTTATTTTTCACGATTGTTGATATCGTCGTTCTCAGAATACGGTAGGCAACAGTTAAATCTCGAACATACCACCTTCATATTTCTCAACAATGTCTTTTTTCAGTTCCATTGTGATTTTAGTCTTTTTTTTTTTATTTTTCTGTTGCCTTTTTGCAATTCATGATTAATAAAAATAATAACATTTTACTTACAAATTAAAATAAAAAGAAATTTGACAAAGTTATAAACTGTGGCACTGCGAACATCTAGCCTGGTCTAATACACTGATAATGCTACTTGTTCGTAGATGACGCATATAATTGAATTAAGTCGTATACCGAGCAAAATTTATTTTGTCCAAACAGGACGTATTCTGAATTGGACATATTCTAAAGCAGACGTATACCAAGGTACCACTGTATTTTATAAAATCTTTGGTGACATATGATTGATAAAAAAAAAAAAAAAAGGAATACCAAGGTACCACTGTATTTTATAAAATCTTTGGTGACATATGATTGATAAAAAAAAAAAAAAAAGGATCTGAAACTTAATGATAAACTATAAAAAGGGGTATGTAAACAAGATTGAGATCTGGTTATTCTAGAAGGAACTTTCAACATGAGCCAGTAATTGTTTACGATGCCATTAAAATATTTATAGGTTAAAATTCAGTCGAAATACTTGAGTCTTTCTTTAAAATTGGGTAGTCCCAGTCTGACTCTTGCGACACTGGCATTATTAGTGTAAGGGAAATGACAAAATTTGTTTAAAAGGAAGTAAACTTTATGTATTTTTTTAATAACATTTAATAAAGGAGGAGATGCCATTGCCCAGATCGGTAAGCAATAATCTATTAAACATTGGAAGTTTGTAATAAATATTATTCTTAGTAAAGTTTTTGATGATATGAAGTTTACAAAAGTGCCATAAAATTCCCTGATGGATTGAGATAGATTTTCATATTTTTTCTATATGTTCTTTAATTAAAGGTTAACAATGGAATATTAACTGGATTTTAACAATATCTTGGAATGTTCATACCATCATACTACAATGTTATCCAAAGAGGCAATTAAATGTTTTAATTTTATTAAAATAAAACTAACCATTTATGAATTGATAAATTTACAAGTCTATATCATTGTATGTTATTTCATTTCAGCATTTACATTCATATTGTTTTGTGAAATGCAACACACAATAATAAATCTAGAAAAACTGATCATTCTTATCTGAAGAATTTTTAATGAGTTAAATATTAAAAATTTTAAATAAATTACATCTGTTATACATCATTTTTTTTGATATTTATGAGAGACGATACACTATTGATGATTACGGTATTTACTCGAATATAGGATGAGGTTGACTTTAAAGATCAAAATACAGAAATTTAGATTTATTAATATAACTAGCAGATGTGCTCGGCATTGCTCAGGCGAAAAGTAATGATAGCAAAGGTTAAGATTATTGGATTATAGCCGATCTTACACGTTTTGACCTGGTGCAAGAATTAGGTCCCCCTCTTCTGAGGCTAATTAGAGAATGTTTAGATGAGTCTAAAAATATGTTCAATTTCCTGCAAAAAATGCAAAAATCTGCATCTAAAATAGTACAGTAGAAGCAGAGAACTTCAGGGTAATCCTTAATCTCTCCCTCCTCCTGCAGGGGATTTTGAAAAATCCCTTCTTAGTGTATGTACATTCTCATGGCGTACCCTAACTGTGTACCAAATCTCAACTTTCAACTTCTAACTCTTTGGGCTCTGTGCTGATTATTATTATGTTGAGTTCAGTGAGTTATACTCGGTTGGCACTGATGGCTGTGTACTATGCTGGACCAGAGTCAAGGCATAGTAACCAAAAGAAAACAAAAAAATTAAATAAGTGTGTCAATGTCTGTCTGTATTCAGGAATTTCCTAACAATATGAATGTATTCAATATAGTGGCCTTCTGTATGTGTTTCTTTTCAGTTGTAATGTACCCAGGCTTTTGCATAGTGTGTGTGGTATGACACTTGTAGAGGAGAGAACGACAAGTACAATAAGCACCTTATCCATCCTCCACAGATGCCTTATTTCCTGGATGTGTTCTGTGTACATGCTGATTTTTTTCAGTGCATGTGTTTTGTATATTGTGAGTGTTTGGTATGTATATGTCTGTAATGTATGTGATTTCATTGTGTTTGTCAATGAGTGTGATGTCTGATCTGTTGTGGTAAATTGTTTTATCTGTAATTATGGCTCTGTATTAGTACAGTTTGTGCGTGTTATATTCCAATACTGTCTGGAATGTACAGTAGAATCTCGATTATTCTGACTAATTGGGGATGAAGGTAGTCCGGATAAGGAAAAATCCGGATAATCGAAACAAATACTTTAATTTGTCTTTTAATGACAATACAACACATTTTCTTTTCAATGACATATCGGCAATATTAAAAGTAAATACTGTATTTAAATCGTGATCAAATTTTCAAGAAACAAACGTTCGTATTTAATTTTGACTACTACTGACCAACGCTAACAGACTACCTATTGTTTAAAAGATCATCCGGTGGCGCAAGAAGACGGATTTTATAAAATAAAAAGCAGTTGAAACTGCATTTTTATGAATAAAAATTTGACAAACTATTTATCGTTTTATGACGAGTAAAATTTTTTCGGGGGCGTTCGCGGTTTTAAGTAATGCATAAACCTTCGAAACGCGAGGCCCTTCGGACCGTGAGGCGTAGGCGGTTGCCCACGTTGCCCATGCCTTACACCGCCCTTGGTCATAGAAATGATGTAATTTGAAAATAAAATTTTTATAAATACGTATGTCAAGTTATATTTTTATTACGACGCAAAATATATTTAAGAGTTTACGACCACTGTGCTAGGTGGGATGTTGTTGAAACAAAAAAAGTTATGCATTCCATCACATACATAAACAGTGTCATAATTCGCCAAGTGCAAATCAGCAAATTCGTAAAATTTTTGTTTATTTTGAATAATCCGTATAATCGAAAATCCGGATAATCGAGGTTCTACTGTATTTGTAGTATGGTTGGTGGCTGTCTAATAATTTGTGTTTGTTTGCAAGCTCTTGGTATATTATATTTGCTACTTGATTATATCTATGTAAATAATTTGTCCATGCCAAGAGTTTGCAACCAGAAGTAATGTGTTGAATAGTTTCTGGCATGATGTAACATATTCTGCATGTGTCATTTGTGAGTGTTGTATTTTAGATTATGTATTTTCTGCAGTTTTTAGTATTTATGATCCTGGTCCTGTATGGCAATCATGAATCCTTTTGTCTCCCCAAAGAGGCATCCCTGAGTTAACCAGCTGTTTGACGCATTTTTGTCCAGAAAATCCTGGGTCAGGTTGTATGGATGCCTACCATGGAGTGCCTTTTGAATCCATGATTGCTTAATGGTGTCTATGCTTTTTATATGTTGTGTTGTGTCCATATGATGTGAGTGTAAGTTTAATGGTGTGTTATTTGAATCTTCTAGAGTTACTGCTTTATGTAACTGTGATGCTTCTTGTTTTTTGTACAAAAAGTCTCGCAGTGAAGGTTTACTATGTCAATCAGGCTATGTCTTCCATCTTTACGTGGAAGGGTTAATCTTTCTGTGGCAGATTTAGGATGATGTTGTTTATGCTTAGTAAGTGTTGTTCTTGTTTTCCTTTGGAGTTGCTCGAGATCTGTGTGAGTCCAATGTATAACTCCAAAAGAGTATGTGAGTACTGGGATGACATATGTGTTTATTGCTTTAACTGTGTGTTTTGCATTTAACTGTGTTCTAAGTATAGCGTTTAACCTACTTTGGTATTCTTTAATTAATCTTTGCTTTATTCGTGTATATTCTGTTACTTTGGCCTGTTGTAATTCTAAATACTTGTAGAACTCACCCTCTTCCATGGATTCAATAATGTCTCCATTTCCAAGTGTAAAATCTCCTTTTTTCAGGACTCCTTTTTCTATGTAAAGTGTTTTCCATTTGTCTAGGCCAAACTCCATTTGTATGGCCTTGGTATATGAATATGTGATTTGTAGGAGTTGATGAAGTTGCTTTTGTGTGGATGCATAAAGTTTTATGTCGTCCATGTACATGAGATGTGACAGTGTAAACTCTGTTGTTGTTTCATGTCTGATATTGTAGCAATATTGTGTGTTGTTTAACATGTTAGATAACGGGTCAGAGCTAAGCAGAACCAGAGAGGACTTAAGGAATCTCCTTGAAAAATTCCTCACCTAATGAATATTTGGTTTGTTTTTATGGAAGTGTTATGAGTCCTGAGATGTAGTGTTGTTCTCCAGTGCTGCATAATGTTTTAGAAGAATGCAATAAGTAATGGATGTATTTCATACATGTATAGAATATGTAGCAGCCAACTGTGTGGAACACTGTCATATGCTTTTCTGTAGTCTATATATGCCGTGTATGTTTCTGTGTTGTTTGTGTGCTTGCTGTAGAATGACTGAATCTATGAGTAACTGTTCTTTGCATCCCCTTTGATTTCTATGGTAACCGTTTTGTTGTTTCATAAGAATTTTGTGTTCTTCAACATGTTTGTATATTTTGTTTGAGATACAGGCTGTCAATAACTTGTAGTGTGTTGGAAGACATGTAATTGGTCTGTATTGTGTGGGGTCTGTGGTTTTGTTGTTTTTAGGTTTCATGTAGGTGATGCCCTGAGTAAAAAACTTTTATTATTATTATTATCAACCCATCTCGATTATATTATAAAATTCTAATTTTATTTCATTTAATCACACATAAAATATCAAATGCATGTAAATGCACACATTGTCCCACAAAAATTACTGGCATTTTAAACTTTAAGGAAAAATCTTTAAAATTGACAACATAATTTGTTCGTGTAAAGCTGGACATTCAAGACCTTTTTTTGCCAATTTGTAACAGTCGAATCCACTCTCTGTTGATTACGCTTGTGAGTTTCTCCGAATTCTGATTTTCGAATAATTGTCTGTTCTCACGTGGGAATGGATTAAAACTTATATTGGGCTCTTGTGTGATTTTGAAATTTCAATTTGGAATTCAATTCAAAAGCTCTGCTTTTCCTATTGATATTCATCTTTACTCCTGACAATACACAAGAACGATTCAAACGACCCAGATAAAACATTTTTGTTTTTAAACACCAGGGGTTAGCATCCACTAAAAAATTCAAATACGCAGTTCACAAAAATTATTGCAAAAACACAAAGAATTCTTTGCTCACATGTCTGGGACGATATAGGTTTTTGAAGCAGTGAAAAATGAATAAAAATCTCGTCTTATATGCGAGTAAATATGGTATTTTCATTACAGTAATGACGATGAATAAACATTACATTGTGTTTGAAAAATAAACTAAGTTAATATATTTTTATACCATACAATTTCTGGGTTATAGTTATGATGCTGATAGTTTTATTGAACAAAATTATGTAATACCAAATAATAAATGCAGTATCTTAAATTTTATTGGGTTGTTAAGCAGTGAAAAATGAATAAAAATCTCGTCTTATATGCAAATAAATACATACTTGTCTGCCATCTCAGATAAGAAATATAGATTTAAATGAGTAACATCTTGCCATCATCCAAATAATATAATGTTGAACTTCTGTACATTGATAAATAATGATGCCATCAATGAAACAAATCACTCTCTCTGAAATGTTTCAATAATAGTTGCATCATAAGCTGGAAAACAGCTTTGGCTGATTTTAGAGGTGAGCCAGAACAAACTCAATTAATTCAGAACAAGCCTCAATATGTAATAAATGTAGTTAATGCAACTCTGTTCATGAATAGGTACTTGATAAAATACAGATTTGACATTAAGAGAAAAATTTTTGGTTCTACTTTATTCTGAATTTTCTCTATTCAGTAATACTTTCTCTTCTACAGTAATATTATTTACATTATGTAAATAAATAGCCAGTTTAATACCATCGGATTTGCATTACAAGTAAATTAGACATACATTATGATACTTTGATTTGCTAGAATATAACTGAACTAGTAGTAAATCTTGCAGTTTGGACTACAGAGCTTATGCATAACAAAACAAATTCTACTACTCAAAAACCTTATAAACTGCAGCCATATTTATTAACAAATTCAAACATTTTCGGTCATCTTTAATGACCTTTATCAAGAANATCCAGAACGTGGTGCATCTTCAATATTGAAATTGCCAGAACGACATTTTGTAAACCAGTTTTGGCACTGTCGTTCTGTCAACACATCTTCTTCATACACGTCACACAATTTTTTTCTCGCTTGAACAGCATTCTTACCTTTTCGGTAATAAAAGAGCAAAATATGCCGAAAATGCTGCTTTCGATCTTCCATATTTGATGTGACACAAAAAATAAACAATTGCACAAAATCAAACAAAATTTTTTACAAATAAGCCTTAAAATGCTAGTTGTCAAAATGTATAATGATAATACGGTTTAGAATGAAAATGACAGGAAAAATACGACTAATCCGTCTAGTGGTAAAAAAAAACGAAATTACTTTCCGAAAAACCCAATATTTTTATTGTAATTACCATGAATCTTATTGGGCTGCAATTTGAAAAAATTGTAGACCTGTAAATTCCCACTATCATTCGTCTTTCCTTAATCTTGACAATAGCATTAGATAGATGAAAGACGAGACCAGATACGGAAAGATTGGGGCAGGAAGCCTCAATTAACTATATCGGAACTTCTAATACAAACCAGAAATCACATTATGTCAATTCAAAAATTTTTTTCCGGAAGATGATTTCTATATAAAATGTGCTCATTTGTTTCAGAATAAATATGCAGATTACTTTACCCATATATTACAAATGTGCATATTGTGCTTTTTTTTTCTTAAAGGGGAACTTTGGATTAGAGTTTATAACGTTCTTGTACAAAATGTTTTTTAGCAGTGCTAAATTATTCACAGTTTTTTGATACAAAGTAACATGATTTCTATTATATCAGAAATAGATTTTAAATTATATGTATTATAATGTTATTCAAAACAATTTGATATCAAAGAGAATTGTTTTGAAAAAGATTGAAATTTGTGAGATTTACATTCTTTTGTGTCTACTTCAAAAAAATTAACAAGTGTAACTTGAAAGCAATTTTGCTGATGTTAACACCGTTCTTTTACTAATTAAATTAATGCAATTTGATATTAACTTAAAACTAACACGTTCTACTAACAAAATCTTTAATAGACGAGAGATAAATCTGTCTTCATTTATGAGAAAGGTTGCCTTCGGGCTGGGGAAGAATGGATAGAAGCTAACTTGATGCCTCTTACGGGGATAGCAGTTGGCATGGCTATCTTTCAGGTATAATCTTCCTTTACTTAATTCACCTTGTGATAGCGATTACATTAAATTAAGGAAATTAGGATAATCACATTCATTTGTATTTTTGGAAAGTTATGCCGTTTAGTACGAAAGGTTTACGAATTGTTTTAAATACTTGTATATATAAAATTTAATTTTGAATATATATTTTTACTTTTCACTCTTAATATACAGTCGACCCCTCCCCATAACACTGTTGATAATTCCGTTTTATACGAATTCCATGTTGTACGAGTCACTTAGATTTTACAAATTTGTGTGCCGGGCTGTGAATGGCTCACGTATTTGTAAAATCTAAGTGACTCGTACAACATGGAATTCATATAAAACGGAATTATCAACAGTGTTATAGGGGGTCGACTGTATTTGAATCAAAAACAGTTGTACCATGCCAAATTTTGTAAATTTTAGAACATCGTTTAAAAACTACATAATGTGATGTTAATAATATGTAAATAAATTTATAAAGACAAGCATTAAAATGAACAACACATTAAATAAAACATTTTTAAGACACTAAAATCATATCTTAATGATATTATATAAAAAGAGGAATAAATATTGTCTTAATTTAGAAGAGAATTTTAAGAAATAATATTCAATATCAAACTTCAAAGATATTTAAAAATAAACATTCAATTGAAAGCTATTTTTATCCATCATAACAGCATTTAATTAATTTTAACAATTTTCATGATAAATTTATATACATTACTTTCCATAATTTAGAAAAAGAAATTGTATTAAGAGAACTGCAAAAGTCAATGAAATTAGCAACTAAATATTGTAATAATATAATTTTATTCCTGTCGTATACTAACAAAATAACTAAAATCTATGGTGAATTGGTTTGTCCACATCTGTTTTTTTTAATAACATTCTAACCCATTCATTGTACGAAAAAATCAAGTATTGATTTTAAAATGATTGTATAACTTCATAATTCTCAGGAACGCGACAGATCTAGAGTCATCTTTGAAAAAGGTTGTGTACAGTCGGGGGAGGAATGGGTTGAAAGAAACCTTCTTCCTTTAGCGGGTGTAGTTCTAGCAATTGCTTTTTCTCAGGTAAGTAAGTAATGTATTGCTTTAAAGTACATAATATGAACAGACAAAATTCCAATTTGTAATTCGGCATCTACAGATTCCTCCAAATGAATGTTTAATCTTGATTTTTCAATGTATTCAATAGACTGTCAGAACTATTATTTATGTATATTCTGGCTACATGGAATTTTAAACCAGTACATATTGATTAGAAATAGAAGTTATAGATTATTTTATTGAAAAGGGATGATTTTTTTACTTTATCTATATACAGAGTCTGAAATTAATGCTACCAATTTAAATTACTGTAATTATATCAAGTATTGTTTGAAACGTACACCAGTTGATAGACAAACCGTCCAAACTACTCCCATCTGCATTCAAATGTCTTGTTATGGCACTTCCTAGAGGTAGTAGATAAATGAAAATGGCAACTCTGTAACAGAGAAGGCATTTTGAGTTTTGCAGTTCACAAAATTGGAATCGCTTATCGTTGTGCAATGTGAGTGAGTAATCTGCAGGAACTGTAGAACTGTAACCTCTGTGCTGTGTGGGAGGAGCAACAGCAGATACACTGTAGCAAGTATAGGAAGAATTTGAGTATCGGTTAGATCTGTGCTGCGCGACACAAGGTGTATGCGTTAAGAAATTTTACTGGACAATTGAAAACTTTGACAGTTTACCAATCTTTTGAATGTACCTTACAACATTCTCAGACAATAATTTAAAATGGTAGCAATCTTTTTGGAAAACCCTGTATATTTAAAAAGAAAAGCAGCAACAATTTTATCATATATTTAAAATAATGTCTTATCTTTTAAAACATTGAAAAAGTATTTATTTTTGCTTTATGAATTATTGAGTTTTATATCAATTTTTAAGTTTAATCTTTCTTTCACACAATAAATATAATGTAAATACCTATACAGGTATACCTCGCCTTACGTCGGTAATTGGTTCCAGGAAAACGACGTAAGTCGAATTTACCTGTCTCCGAATCTACTTATCACTAGGAAAGCATTTTAAATAATATATGGTTAATAAAAATCTATTTTAAGCTTACAAACAAATAAATTTTAGTTTTTAATATAGTACAAAAAAAGTAATCTAAATTTACGAATGCGTGTACTGTAAATACAGTACATACTTGTATATATTTTAATATGATTTTATGTGCTTTAAACGTTTATCTAGTGATATTACGACTTCAATATTTGTGGCGGACAGACGTAAAGTCGAATAAAATGACTTAAACTTGATTTTTATTTTTCCATATACTTTTTTAACAAGCGACGTATAATCGGGAACGACGTAACTCGAAACCGACGTAAGTCGAGGTATGCCTTTATTGACAAATATGATAGATTTTATCACTAATATGGTGTACGAATATATAAAGCATAAAATACATAGACCAAATCAAGACAGCTAGAAGCAATGTTTATCCTGTGAGAACTTGCCTTCATTTGTCAGCATTTTATTGAAGGACGAGTTTTAAACAAAAAATCTATAAATATTATTTATCAGCTATTTTTAAACTTAGGTTTGACGAGCTTTGTTTCCTCACGGAATTAAATGGAATCTACTCTATTGCCTTTTGGGAGAATCCCAGATTAAAATTAGATACTTTGAAGTTGCAATTCCTACTTCTAATGAAAAATTAGAAATGTACTAAATCTTTTAAAATAAACTAATGAACAGAGATGGTACCTATTTCCTGATTTTGAGTATTTGCACATTAAAATTTTCTTAAGTGTTATATTAAAGGAATTGTATTTTTAATAAATTCTTAAATATTTTGGAATTATTTCAATTTCAGAATAATCAGACTGCTAGAAAAAAAAACTTTTTTTTATTTTATTTAAAATAGAATAATTTTCATATTTATCGGAGTTTTCTAAAGACAAGTACAAAATGAAAGAGTTAGTCTTTCCACTGTTTTCTGTTAATTAAAAGTTGTAATTAAATCCTCAACTAAAGAAAACTTTCGTTCCTTGAACACTTTCGATAGTCTTCTTGTTAATTTTGGATCCTTTTCAGATAGGTTGCTTTCTTTGTACAACGTGCGAAGAAAGCAACCTATCTGAATGGTCTGAGCAAATATATTATTGAGTACAGTGAGCCACTATAGCAGCTTTTAGCTACTATCATATTGTTCCAGTTTGTGGTTTTTAGCATTTTCTGCAGTTTTGTCTAGAAAATAATGAAATCGTTTTCCTTATTATGCTTAGTATTAGAATATTTCATTACACATTTTTATTATTTAGTTCTGTAAGCCATGTCTATTATAACCTTTTATTAACTGTGGATTGTTCATTTTTTGCGTAAGAAAAAATGAGCAATTGGGAACCTACCTCGCCGAGGTAGGTTCCTGAGATGTCGAGCAAGGAGTACAAACGGCAGCAGATGGCACTTTGACTGCCGCAGCAGTATCACTTGGAATATAATGATTTCTTAATTTATATTGTTACTGCTACAAGTGTTAAAATGATAGTGCTGTTTGTGGCCTTCGCTCGGCGTCCCGGATGACAACTCTTCTTGCCGAGATCATTTCAGACTGCAATTCTGTATCAATGATGACAGTACATACGTGTGACTGCAGGGTCGGCACCATGTCAGGACCGACACCACTGTGCACTTGGGGGACACAGAAATTACAATGGCCATTAGATATTGGTTTTGTGCGCATGTGATCGCATATGTAGGCAATCTGATTTGGGATGGAGAAGGTCCGAGACTCAACAACAGATTTTCTAAACAAATACCCATTTATTTACACATATATACATACATACATACATACTAGTTTAACTATATAATAATCAAATAGCATATCAGTCTCAACTAAGTCATGTTGGATCCTTAACTGAGACAGAGAGTTTACAATTGGATGCGAGGTTGATAAATATCTTAGGCTCATCTTTTTTGAAATTCTTTTTCTTTGGGACTTCAAGCGGTATTAACAGATGGCGTTGAAGATGTTCTGAAGATTTTATTGATGTGCAGAACGTTGGTAAGATGTCCCTGGACAGAGGATAGCTTTTGTGGGTAGGTGGATGTAAATCAAAAAGTAAGTTGTTTGATGTCCCAAATAGTTGAATGGCAGGCGAACCGTCCAAGAGAGTTGAGGCTGGTGAATAACGAAATAGCGAACCTTAAGTGACAGATGATCAATGAACTCTGTTGTCATTGATCCCCTTTTATTTTGGGAGTCCTTCTCCTCACTGCTTGGGTCCTTTTTTGATAATATTAGTCTGTCCAATGAGCAAATTTGGAGGCCATTCGGTTGCAGGCAAACACACGTGTGTCACCTTTTTTGAAAGGAAGCGAATCTGGGGGAAGGTGTATTCATATTCTCCAACATTTATTTAATGTTGGAAGAGAGAGAAAAAAATTTTTTTCGTTGGGGAAAATTTGTAATTTAGGAAGTTAATAAAAAATTTTTCCTTCAAAAGAATAACGGCAATTATTCTATCTAGTCTGGGTTCTCTCATAAAAATCAGTGCCTATGCTGCAAACGGTCTTTTAATTAGTTGCTTTGAATTTGCTCATTCACAGTAAAGATGTTACGATGCCCAATCTCCATTTGGAATGCAAGTGACTAGTCTTACCAATTTTGAACTTGTCACTTCTGCACGAATGCAGATGGGTTTCATTTCCTTGTCACACTTAAAAACAGTTAGATTAGCCACCATTTTCCAAAATTTATCGTGCAGCTTGTACCGGTCGCAAAGCCGTGCTACTAACAAAGGAACGTAAGGTCCGAGGTTTTGAGGGTTAATTTATTGCCCTGCATCGAACCCAGTAAGAAACATTTTTCATTAGTTACCAAACAGCCCTCGTAATTAAACAAAATTATAAAAATAAGCATTCCTTCAGTTTGATTTAACAGAAATAATTCATCAAGATACTTGATGAATTATTACTGTTTAGAAGAGGTCTTTCTTTTGTAGTAGTAATATATAAATTAAAAGCGATGATTGATTTTAAAGTTCAAACAACTAATTATGATTGTTACTAAATCAAATGTTATAACTCGAACAGTTTAATTAAAATTGTCTAGTATTATCGGTCAATTTTACACTGTCAAAAAGGCATTAGTTATATTTTCTTTTTTGTATTTTGATGAAATAAATATATCCAAGAACTATTTAAGAATTTATTAAATTCTTCAAAATCATTTAAAATAGAAATGCAATATTTACATAAATCAAATCATTTTATTTTATTTTATCAAATATCAGAAAATAATTTGTGTGAATTTACAATTTCAGATCCTCGGAATATGCTTTGCACAGAATCTACGAGCGGACATCTTCGCTCAAAAATCTAAGTGGCATTGACGACGACGTCCGGCTTATATTTAACGTGTTTTAACAAAAACGTAATGGACCGTAACTACAAGAACTCATTCTCGGAAGATCCATTACTTCGGTATAATAACATAAAATTTTTCTCGGCGTGCATTGCCAGTCAAAATATTTTTTATTTTATTATTATTATTATTAAATTATTATAAAAACATCAAAAATTAATTTGGCAATATAAGCTTTATTATTATTATTATTATTATTATTGATGTTGTTGTTGTTAAAAAAATTCTATATAGATTGTGATAATGATGATTAAAAATTATCCTGCAAAGTGATCAAATGTTTATATAGAAATTTTATATAATTCAAACATTAAAAATCAAAGATGGAATTGTATTTTTATAAGTAGATTTTGTACGAAGGAAGAAAAATACATATTTCGTAATGCGTTGCAAACATTTTTTAAGACGTCTAAGTTCAAGAGGCGTTTGCGGTCGCAATCTCTAGACTATGCCGAGCATAAGTCGTATTTTATATCCCACTACGAGCAATAAAATTGCTCTCGTTTGCAACCTGTATAATTTAAAAATGATATTGCAAGCCAAAACGAGACAATGCAAACAGTTGAAATGAAGAGAGATTTTTATATTTGGATCTTTTCTAAAAAAGCATAGAAAACCAAAGTGTGCCACGTATCAAAAACAACTAGTATGATGAGTAAGTATTTAAATAAGTTTTATTCTATCTTTTATTGATTTAAGATATAATCCATAATCATCCTCTGATTTTTAATGTAAGTNCTTAATTTATATTTTCTCAAAAATGTTATTTAAAATTGTAATTAACTTAAAATTTTTCGAAGTTTGTTTATAAAAATATTTATAGGGTTTTCTTTAGTATATGCAGATTTATGCTAAAGGCTAAGGTTTCCAAATTGGTTTTTGTAAACAATCGAAATTTCAATTTTCAACGGACTTAATCCAATTTTATGTTATTACTCAAACAAAATACAGATTGGAATATCATCTCTTGCTCATTAAATATATTATCTTCATTATGTTTTATCTTCATCATCATCGTTATCTTACTGAAATATCTTTATTATATTTATTATATTTAAGTAATTTATTACGTTAAATCATTTTCAAGCGTAATTAATTTATTGTAATTACTTCGATAATGAGCTTAATGTAGATTTTAGTGGGGAAAAAAATATTGAATATAAAATTTAATTCTTTTTTATAAAAAAAAAAACATTGTGTAAAATTTATGCTTAATTATACGTTTGTATTGTCTATAAGATTACAACCGATAAAATAAAAAAAACGTTAACATTAAAATGAATTAGACATAATGAATTAATCATGAGGTACATAATTATATGCGGTATAACATTCAACATCTTAGAAATATCATAAAATTATACATATTTAACATGTACATGAAATGTGTATACAATGAAATAAAAAAATAAATTTTTGCAAATTTTGTTTTGTATTGCTGACTCTCAAAAAATAGTTGTCTTGTTGATGCACAAAAACAATTAGATGTTATGTCAAATTAGTCTTTAGTGTGGTTAACTACTAAGGGAAAATCATCTGTACTTACTTAAAGGGCAGTGTGTAAAAACGTTCCTCCTGGCCACGTAGTCCCTGGCTGGAGGAATGTTTTTACACTCGGCCCCTTTTACACTGGTATCCACATCACATGAAGTACTAGCATGTTTTGTTGTATGGTGTTAAGTAAACTAGTAAAACTTGGTTACACTACTCCATTAGTCCACATTTCAAAAAACAAACTACTGTATAATCTTTAAAGTTTGCTATGACTGCAAAGTAAAATGGGATTACAATTATTATTTCTACTGTATCTCAATTAGTAAACTGACATTTGGAAGCAGAAATTGGTATTATATAATTTGGCGACATTTTCTAAAAGTTCAAAATTTAGGTTTGACTCAAAACATCCTCCAGTTGGGCTGTCCTAACTCTCTGCAGCTTCCATCATATTAGGCCCAACTGGCATAGAGCTTCATCTGTAACAATAAAAAAAAATTAAACACTTTAATTTTCTTAAATTATTATTTATGTCAACACTTCACTAATAGTTTTCTATTATATACACCCCACACATTAATAGCACGTGTATTCTTTACATTTAATCGTTTTTATTATACTGTACCGTTGGCATAAATTTGAACATTTTGACAATGTAAAATGGCAGTCAATAGTACCTATCATTATTATATTTTTTTCCCCTTAAATCTCTCATGTTATGTAATAAAAATTAGTTATATAATGTTTTTCTTATCCGATATCAAATGGAGAAATTATGGAAATTGTACAATCTATTTTCTAACATAATTTTTAACTAGAAATTACCACTACAGTAAGACACTGCTTAATGCGTTAAAAGAAACAGCGTTAAACAAGGTCATTTTAACATAGAGTAATTAGGGAACGTGCAACTGAAAAGTGAAGTAAAATTTTTTTATTTTAAGTTAATAACTTAAATATAAATTTGTAATATATTTATACAAATTAATATAAAAATATGTTAAATAACAAGGTTCTGACTTTTCTGAAATTTGTTTTTTGCAATAAAGTTGTGATGTTTCATTTGTCACTTTTTTCTTTCCTTAAGCAAATGTCAGTAGCAGAAGACCACATCCAAAATGCCTCGTTTTGCTTTTTTACGCCTTTCAAAATCTACATCATTCACTACAATGGTAATGATAGACTTTTAGGGTTCTTTGTTTTCAGAATCACTATTTTCACTTCTAAGTGGATTCCTTGTTCTGCCAGTGCTTGAAGGTCATTGTTGGTAATACTACATTTGCACACAATCCACGACTCACTTCGATCTCGATTTACCCATAATCTGGATTGCGATTGTCGCCAGTCGAACATCATGCTGTTCGCACAGGCAGTCCACTTGAGAAGAACCTGGCTATTACATGCAATGATAAAACTGACATAACCACACGATAAGTCACGAACACCAACAAACAAAATGAAAGTTTTGGTTAGAAATAAATACTTTTCCTGCCATACCTCTAATAATAGACAGACGTCATCGTCTCTCCAAACGTCTTTTTTATTTCTCTGTTGGTAGCCCAACACGTGCTCCGCAGCCATCTTGTATTTTCTCATGTGCATGGGATTGTGGGATCGCTCTTATGACTGGATCTAGTTTCAAGAACTCTCATGAATTTATTGCGATTGAACCTCGTTTCAGTCAAGATTGAAACAGTTGAGAGAGGTCGCCGACCTTGGTCACAATCTAGATCAAAATGCTCAGTGCAAATGGGGTATAATACCCCGTTCGCACCGAGCATTTCAATCTAGATTGTGACCAAGGTTGGCGACTGTTCCGTGGTGCGACCTCTCTCGACCATTTCAATCTCGACTGAAACGAGGTTAAATCGCGATTGCCTCGAGAGAGTTCTTGAAACTAGATCCAGTCATAAGAGAGATCCCACAATCCCAAGCGCGTGAGAAAATACAAGATGGCTGCTGAGCACGTGTCCGGCTATTGACAGAAAAATAAAAAAGATATCTGGAGAGACAATGACATCTGTCTATTATTAGATATACGACAAAAGAAGTATTTATTTCTAACCAAAACTTCCATTTTGTTTGTTGGTGTTCGTGACTTACCGCATAGTTATGTCAGTCTTATTATTGCGTGTAATAGCCGGGTTCTTCTCAAGCAGATTGCCTGTGCGAACAGCATAACGTTCGACTGGCGACAGCCACAATTCAGATTGTAGGTAAATCGAGATCGAAGCGAGTCGTGGATTGTGTGCGAATGTAGTATAAGGCTCTAACCAGAAATCTGCTGTAACTCCTCAGTGTTCTGTTCGTCTATATCTCCTAGTCCTGCTATATCGATTAGGTCGAGCTAACGATACAGCAATAGGCTCTTCTCATTGAGAATTCTTGGATACCTTCAGCTGTAACTTCTTCCACACTTTGTTCATGCATTTATCAGTTTAATTCTTGCCAAGCAAAGTCAATATTTCCTATGGCATCTGTGATGTTATATTTTTTCCAAAATTGCACCAAACAAACATAGATTTAAAGAAAGTACTCCTTTTTGCCATTTTTTTCTGATTGGTTCGTGTTTGCAAATAACCATATTATANGTCGAGCTAACGATACAGCAATAGGCTCTTCTCATTGAGAATTCTTAGATACCTTCAGCTGTAACTTCTTCCACACTTTGTTCGTGCACTTATCAGTTTAATTCTTGCCAAGCAAAGTCAATATTTCCTATGGCATCTGTGATGTTATATTTTTTCCAAAATTGCACCAAACAAACATAGATTTAAAGAAAGTACTCCTTTTTGCCATTTTTTTCTGATTGGTTCGTGTTTGCAAATAACCATATTATACACAAACCAATGAAATGCTGCAATAACTTAGTGTAAATTTTGAGCTTTTTTTTTTTTTTTAAGCTTCAAGCAGATGGTGTTAAAAGTAGGGTCTTACTGTACTATTGTATATACTGGTACAAAATGTCCAGCAATGTCGTCGTGTTTTCATCAGAAATTTTACTGGATGAATGGACAAAAATGTAATATAGTTTGTCCACTCAAGCTACTTCATTGTACTCAAGTAAAATTTATGAAGAAAACACTAAATGACATTGCCAGACATTTTGTTCTGAGGCATACTACAGCATGCTCTGGAACAAAATGTCTGGCAATACCTTGTATGCTGTAACATAACTGTAGTCATCATCTTTCTGACTGATTAATATAGTGTTAAGATCAATTGAAACACCTGGAAAAAGTTAATGGGCATGCAATTGTCCAAAATCAACATTCAAATGATTCACATGCATATATTTTCTAGGCATATGGATCATTTCATGTATTTAGGCCCCCAGTCTATGCGCAGTATTCAGTTAGGTCTTTGGAAACTTTTAAAAGTTCAAAAACCCCTTTCAGTAATGTGCAGCAACCTTGTCAATCTTTTCTCTTCACTAAATAGACTGGGATGTAAAAATGCACAGTAGCAGGGACCAGTCAAGATTTGAGAAATGAGCTACACTGTATTTTTGTCAAAGATATAGCAGTGTCCAAATTTTGATTTGCCCAATATTACTACAATAAGCATTTTGGATTAAATAATTTTTTCTGAACTTATATTTTATTATCCATGCTTTTTAAATGAAAATAGTCAATATTTCTATTTAAAAAAAATTCAAATGCTAGAAATCCATTACCTGTTTGG